AACACGCCTCAACATGTCTGAGAACAAGAGCTGCTGTCAGCCTCCAATACCTAAAAAAAGGAAGTTATTCAACAACCTTCAACAAAGAGCAGTAATTTTAAAGACGTGCAAAAAATTTTTTGAAAAAGGTGGAAAATATTTTTCTTTATTTAGGAACTTGCAGAGTTACAAGGTTATGGTTAAGTTGAATTAGTTAAATGTTTCATCAATTACAGCAGCTCACTGTTAAAGGAGGGTGGAAGTTGACTTTCAGACACTTAGCTATAAATGTGGGAAGACTTCATATTTATGCCATAATTCTAATGATACCTTGATTTACAAACAGGTGTGGTGCATATGTGGTAATTACTCACGGCATTACCCGATTATTACTCGATACCAAGTTTACAATTGCATCAGTCAGCCAATTTCTACTGTCTCGCCTAGATTACATTAACTATCCAGCAGCAGATCTCAAACCAGTGTTGGGATTATTTAAATATGTGTGCTATCTGTAGCTGAGCCAGACTCAGGTAATAATAAAAACTTACCTGTTGTTTTTGATATGCAGTATTTGGACTTATCTTCGATTCCAATAGCAGTGATCCTAAAGCACAGAGATATAGGTGACTAAATATTCAAACCAGTTAGAAAGCCGGTTCTTTAAAGACGAGGTTTGTTATTCTGCCTGGGAATAAACAGTTATGGCTATGCAAATACACACAAAAACAATCGAATTAAACTAAAATGCTTAAAAACAAAGGTAAAATAACTACAGCAGACCTTAGATTCTATTGTAATAACGTTATGTACTTTCTTTGTCACATACATGAACCACAAAGAGCAATAACAAGTTTATGCGTTCAGACTTTCAGGGGCACCATGCTATAGAGATCCCGTCGGACTAAACTAATAAGCATGCTAGCAACAGCTATTCAATAAATATTTGCCATTTATTGAGAGACGTGCCTAATATTAACAGTTCTGGCACTATGACGGCGAAGTCTGCCCCACATGTAGAAAAAAAGTCTAATAAGGTAATCTGGTGCCCACTGTGGGCAATCGAAGCGCTCTCTCCGAACAACCAGGAGTTAGCATGCTAACCACCGCAACAACTATGCTAACAGGGAACTTACCGTCCGATTCAGCCCGAACTAATAACGATATCCCCCTCAGTCGTTCGACAAATGTAGACGAAACGTGCCCGGTACCCCGATCATCCCATTGCCGATCTTCATTCAGCGTATATACCTTCACTCGCCGCCGAGTGTCCGACATGGTTTAAACGAGTCGGAGCTAGCAGGCTAGCTTTCTGCTAACAAGCTATCACCTCACCCGTCTAGTGTTTTCCTCGACCTGTTAACTTTGTTTCCAACCGCATGTTATAAAACATGCATGTTTAAATTTAGTTCCCAATAGCAACAAAATATATTAGTAGGTATTTCATAAACATATTACGACGTGAATCTACTTATTAAGGGGCCTAATATTAAACTGGAAAATTCTGAGAGAACACAACAACTCTAACGGCCTTCTTGCTAACGTCCACAGACCGCCATCTTGTAATCCGATCTTGTGTTCTTTTTCTTTTTCTACGTCAATCAAGCGCTAACTGCCGCGGGGTCTCCTCCCCCGGGCTGCATCGTCCAATGGCAGAACTGCGGCTCCTCCAGCTCACCGCGTCACCAACGGTGGAGAAAGGTAATAGCACCCACAGCCGTTTGCAGATGTTGGCATAATGTACAGATGTGATTTTGTTCAGCTTGTTTAATTCATAGAGGAAGCAGATACTTACTTAAGCAGAAGATTAACAGAGTTTTTCCACGTTAATTAATCACAATCATAACTGACAAGTTTTTTGTTTTTTTTTACACAAACGAGGAATTTGTCTTGGAAAAAGCAACACTTCAAGCCATGATCTACAGAGAAAGAAAGGAATAAAAGCTTGATGGGGGTTTTGGCATAAGTTTCTAGACTTCTTGGAAAATATTCCTCAGACAAAAGATTAACTTTTTGGTAAGTAAAACTAACATTTAATTAAAAGAATATCAAAGCAACAGTCAAACATGGTGACGGTAGTGGGATGGTCTGGGGCTGGTTTGCTGCTTTATGCAGCTGATGGAACCGTGAAGTCTGTCCTCTACCAGAAAATCATGAAGGAGAATGTCCAGCCATCTGAAATATTAGCAGACTTGGGTTATGCGGCAAGATAATGATCCAAAACACCAAAACTTCACTGAATGCCTCAAAAAAAACAAAAAAAAAACGAAAACAAAACAAAGGTTTGGGATTGGTCTATTCAAAGTTGGGACCTAAATTAGACGCATGACCTTAAACAGGCCGTTCATGTTCACGAACCTCCCAACATGACTGAATTCAAACTATTCTGCAGAGAAAGGTGAGCCACAGAGGATCATCTGCCTCCATCTCAGTCCATCCTCCTCTGTCACATCAACCTTCCTCTGTATCCATCAATCTTCTCGGAGGTTATCCTCTTGTCCTCATGTCTGGCAAGCTTTGTCTTCAACATCCTTTGTCCAATATATCCACAAATTACCTCGACAGCCACTCCACCCTGCCTATACTGTCTTGTGCACCGTCTGTTGTTTTGGATGGTAGCCCCGAGGTATTTAAGTCATACACATGTATTCTGTCTTGCTTCTACTGACTTTCATTCCTCCTCCCTCCAGATCTGTAGGCCCTTCCTGATGCAACCCTACACATTACTACTAACACTCTTAGATTAAGGCTGAACAGAGAAACACTTAATTCTTCTGTAAGACTCCAAAGAGTTATTAGATCTTTCCCTGTCCAATATTATGCAATAAATTGTTTTAAATAAATGTTGAAATTTTACAGCTCTCCTGTTATCATCTCCACCACTCAGTTTCTTTTAAGGACCCACTGGATGAACCTTTTCTATTGTGAAGCAACTGTCTTTTTTTAAACACGCTGAAGCAGTACTTGTGTGCCTGCATGTGGCCACTGAAACATGCAATTAAATCAGCTTTTTATGAAGAAAATTTTACATGCATGCACTCAGTACATTCTGGCACGGTTGGAAGGTGTTTTGTTGACTTAAAGACCTGAATAAAGAAATCATTAATGACTTTATTTACATATTACGTCTACATACTGCTACTCCTTTTAGTTGGGTCTGTAAACTCTCATTTACAAACCTTTCCTTCTCTCCTGCTGCCTCCCTCTTTCCTCTTTCTTTGTCCTTGCACAGCAGTTTCCACCAGCACCCTGCTGGTCAACAGCACCATTGGTAGTCGTTCATTCTTGATGATCCACATAATTGATTTGAAGATTTTACATCGGATCCCCTTCCTGACCTACTTATCCATGGTTGGTAACAGCACTAGGAGTACACTGGCATGTGGCCCACCTGTGGCTGGTTTTTTATTTACATTTTATTACTCACATATAATATAAATGCAACACCATATAAAGATTAAGAAAACACCTCTCTCTAACACATCACCCACTTGCCTTTCTTTTCTTTAGTGGACACGCTGCTACAACAGATACCAAATATGCCTCAAGAGGCAACATTATCACACATGTGAATGACAGAAGCACTGTTGTTGTGTAATGAAAGAAAAATCTTATGACTTTGATACAGTCAAACAACAGAGCATGAAAATGGGCAGACACTTGTATTTTTGAAAATGTTTGCCTCCTCGTCTTATCCGTTTGTTTGTGCAAATTCTCAGAGTCATGATGTCAGCAGCATTTTAGCCACATCCATACTCTCAGCAGCGGAGTAACCTTCTTTATGTATAGTTCGTAACAAGATCTGTTGTTTGAAAAGGGAAAGTTGACTCAGTCCAAGTCTACTCTGACAGAAAAGCCAGAAGTTAGGCAGTCATGGGGGAGTGTCACAAATCTGTACTGGTCGTCTGCATGTCGCTTGAACCCATGGAGATGCTCTGTTTGTCATTCAGTCTCTTTATGACGCTTGCAGCGGTAGACTGGAGCACCTTCCGCGAAAGCCTCATTCTGCCATCTGTTGGGTTCCGTCCAAAATACTTGACCTGTTAGCAGAACACAGTTTAGATACAAGCATCCCAGACTGAAATACGCAATGCCTTGTCTGCAGTAACCGAGACGCACCTGTATCTCCTGTCCCACCTCTAAACCCAAAACACTCGGATGTTTGACCTAAAAAGAAAATAAAGGAAGTGACTTAAGTAGAAATCCGACCATCAGACTCAAAAGGAAAACCATTTTACGCAGACAAATTCACAAACCCGTTTGTGGTCCAGCTGGGAGTTGTGCAGCAGGACAGGAGTCATGTTGGGATAAAGTTTCACCATCACGCCAATGTCCCTAAAGCAGAGGAGCAGAAGGACAGATGAATGTATGAAGGCTGCAATACTTTATTTATATATAAATCAGTTTCCAAGTGTGGAGAAATAACTGTAAACAAACACTGTTGGTAAATAACGCGTTGTTTTAGTTTACCTTATTTCTGTGATGGTGGCAGTGTAGATAGCACCAAACTCCAGCTGCTGTTCTTGCTGCAAAACAAAGAAATAGACCTATTTTCAGCTACATACATTATGAATATGTGTAATATGTGTAAGCAGTTGTTCTTAATGTTTTGATTTGTTTATGCACGTCATGTTTGCATTGTGATATAAAACAGCAATTGAGTTTATATATGTGCATAAAAGGGTGCAAAGAAACTATTAGAATATATAAATATAGATATATATATATTTTATGTTTTATTAGAGTATGCTGAGAGCTTTCCTGTTTTTTTAAGTGTACTGATCAGGATTATTTCTCTTATTTCTTTGTTTAAATGCCATCTAGCTTAAGCTTTATACTATATTCCTCTTTTTTTAATCTGTTTCGGGTTCTCTGTAGAGCACATTTTAACACAAATTTTGAAAGGCTCTGAATAAAGACAGACTGCTATTATAAAGGTAATTACAAGTGGGGGAGACTCACATCGTCTTTGCAGATCTCACTGATGAAGTGTTGGGCTTCGTTCATGGCTCCTGGTGTTGGAGCGAACACGGAAAAAGTCTCTTCGTCTACCTGACTTATCGTCACACCTAAAGGCAAAGAAGAAAACGTGGTGACGTTTTTATATTCTGCACAACAGTTTCTATTATGAAAAAACAAATCTGTGTGCTGCTGGATTAGCATCACGTCACCATCACATTCCAAGTTGCCTTTTTCAGACTTTATTACTTATACATTACCTGTTTGAGCTTGAAGCCTGCGGAGGTTGTAGCCTCCAGGGCCAACAAAGTGAGCTCGCCTTGAGACAGGTACCTGGACATTTTCTGAAGACAGAAAACATCACATATTGGAACAGATGACAGTAAAAACTGTCTATTAAATATTGCATCTTTCTATATATATAATATTCAGACATAACCTACCTACAACAGGTCCATTCTCTTTCCTGTTCTCTCTGGGTTTTGCTATGCATTTGTTCATAATGCCCAAGATTTCCCTCTTTGCCACTGAAACACAACAACAGGCAAATGCTGAAAAACAGCCATGCAAATCAAATTTTAATAAAGAGTATATTTCTCAGTTTTGGGGCTACCTGTGGCCTGCTGGATTGCCTCCATGACCACCTTCAGTGGCAACCCAGGAATCTTCACATCAGCCTGGAGGTAAAATAAAGAAAATGTAGTTAATACATTTCATCTGTATCAGAAAGGCCATTTATGTTTCACCACGCAGTCGTTTAAGCAGAACAACACTTTCACTAAGAAGAATCCTGCTTAACTTGCCATTACAGAGACAAGTTAGTGTTGTCTTATGATAAAAAGAGAATAAATTAAAGCTCTAACACTATACTGGTCTCTTCTTTAATATTTTACACATTGAGTAAAGTTTATATTAAAACATTTCTATGAAAAGTGATGTCCCTTCAGCTAGCTTTATTAAATTTTACTTCTAAAACATCTTTCTTAGACACTTATTACAAGTTACTCAATGCAGTACCTGTAAAGCAGTGATACCCTTGTTTGTTCCTGCCAGTTTGAAGTCCATATCTCCCAGGTAATCCTCTATTCCCTGTTTACGAAACAGTTAAGAGCTCATATTCAACACCTGTCATACCCAGGAACAACTGCAATAACATTTTGAGCATTCAACTATAATCTTTCTTCCACTTGTTAGTGATAATAACTGATCACAAACTGGACTTACCAGAATGTCTGTTAATAGTCTGTAGTTTTCTATCTCAGCAGGTTTTTCTGGGTTAGCCTTGGAGATGAGACCAATGGCTACACCTGCCACAGCAGAAGAAATGGGCACACCTGGCAACACAGATTTAGATATATTAGTTAATCATTATTATATCACATATTATCCGACTAGCATCGTATCCAGACACATGCAAAATTCAGGTCACTTTGAAAAAAAAAAAGCTGATGTTTGCTGTCTGCACGTCTAAGGTCCAGAGAGCAATTTACAACTGGATTTTTCCTGGATTAACTAAAAAGTCAGAACAGTACCTGCATCCATAAGAGCGAGGCTGCCCCCACACGCTGAAGCCATAGAGGAGGATCCTGAGAGGACATGCAGAGATGGAAATATGTTGAAAAATAA